AAAAAAAGGAAGGCATCTGGACAGAACACTAGAAGAAAGACGACATTTGAACGAAGCGCTTGAAGAAAGGCGCGCATCTGGCTAAAGTGACAGAAGAAAGCTGCACATCTAAAGAAAGGAACGCTCTTCCAGACTCCAGAAGAAAGGCTACGTTTAAAGAAACACTAGAAGAAAAGCGCCGTCTGCCGAAGGCATCTGACGGCTGGGTGACGCTTCGATATACAGCTGGAGAAAGAGCCGGCTGCCATCAAAGAAAAAATACTGTAGTCCTTGTTCGATCCGTCTGGCGATGTAGTCGACTCTGAATCCAACATCTTAAAAAGGGACTAACACGAAGTGGCCAGCTTCGTGAGTCGTCACCGTAATTAAGATTCCTACTGAAACCTAACCCAACTCATCCTTTCTTCCTCCATAGCGAGGGGTGAACCACTCGCTGCTACCAGTAAGCGAGCGCGCCCAGTGGAGCGGCTGATATCGTGTTACGCGAGACGGCAGATTAATATAGTTTATCTTTAAGGCATCAATACAAAGTAGAGAGGTAATATGACCCGATACTATCTCGTAACTACATCATGACACAATAAACGCACAAACGAGGATAGGCAAGAAACCATTATACAAATACCACTACGCGATAACACGGTATAAGTCAGCTCTTCGTAGGGAGGGCTTCGCCCTTAGAGAAAGAGCATGATGATGGGTATTGGATGAGAAGGAGTAGGGAAGTCGACGGCACTCGGTGTCGTCGTCGCCAGACGTCTCCCTTCGCTTCGGCTTGCAGACTCCGCCCTGAAATACTGAGTCATACAGGGGTTTTGTAGAGCTCGTACAGTAAGCCGAAGCTGTGAGATGCGCTCACGCTTACAGAACTACGGAAGGCATTAAATGCTGAAGGCTCGACGAAAAATCCAAACAGAAGGACTCAGAGGAACGCTCCTGGAGAACATGATTGGGTAAAGCTCAGAGATAGCAGGGTCAAAAAAGAGACTGATTGTGAGAGCAAGTTTATCATGTGTAGAAGAACATAACTTTACGTGTGGTGGAAAACGTTTCGTGGGACGGACGAGTTACGCCCAAATAAAAGGACACCATGCCCTAACGCTAAAACGGCATTTTATGTTGCATCAATAATTTTCAGTCAAAAAAACCTTTGGATCATACTAAATGAAAAATGCAGGCACCGCAAGTTACTATTAGGTGTGTGCATTAATTTCGGCCGCTGAATTCCAAGGGCCGTTGCGCGAACCATGTTAGAAGTTACCGGCAAAACCTGTCATATTCTGTAACGTAGGGTATTAGCTACCTACCTAAGAAGACATCATTTTTCCCCAAAATCCCATTGCTCTCAGTCTGATTGGTTGTGGAACGTGATGAACCGTTTTCCCGGGGGACCTTTCTCCTGCTGTTTGATTTCAAGAAAACTGACATTGAAGCCCACCGGATGCTTTAATGGAGGACAAGCTTCATCTGAAGGAACCTGCTGAGATGGTTTCTCTTCACCCGAGAGTTTGCATCGAAAGCGGAGTGTCCATTGCCAAAAAGTAATGCTGTGTGTGCATTTGGTGGTGGGCTCAGAAGGGTGTTGTGTACTATTAGCTGCTGAGCCCGAACAAAACTGTTACTGCTGACCGCTACGAACGCCAACTAGACAGTTTGTCGAATGCTATCACCTAAAAGCGGCCGTTAATCGCAAGGAAATATCATGAGGTGCTGTTCCACCACGGACATGCCAGACCCCATGTTGCGAAGAATGTCCTCAAAAAAATTGCAGTCGTTGAATGGGATCAGCTTGTTCAGCCCGCATATTCTCCTGGCTGAAGAAGCGCGAAAATGGGTGGATAACAGGATTGCCTCAAAATATGAAGACTTTTTTAGACCCGGAGTCAACAAGATACCAGAAAGAGGGCAAGAAGTTGCAGCTAACGATGGGCGATACATTGGTCAATGTACACTTGATTTTAATTTTGTAATAAATAACGGAAAAAACGGCGGAAATTAATGCACACACCTAATATGATAGCCAGCACCTACCGCTTTTGTTGGTTTTCAACTTGAAGTGTGTTTCAATTGAAAGATTGTTCCTCTAATTCGTAGGCACATTTCACAATGATTTTGAGGTAACCTTTCTAGAAGCAAGGAAGTTCAGCACGAAGAAGAAGGCCTCTTAAAAGGGTTGTACAGGTTCACGTGACGAAAAAGGCATGGAAAGGGTATTCGGACAAGAATTCAGTCGTTGCAGTTGCGTAAAAAGCTATGTACAATACCCACCCTAATTATTCAAAAAAGGCGAAAAAGACGCGGATTCGCGTCTTCTTCGCCTTTTTTCGAATAATTAGGGTGGGTATTGTAGCTAAAATATGCCTAATAGGTCAAAAATAGCTTCTATTCTCGTTGTAGGTCACATCTAATTACTTGAATTTTCCATCCTGAAAGGTGGCAGCCTCTACAACGCCGTCCACCTCTGGATGTGACATGTGGCCGATTAATCTGGGCCATTATAATGCCTTAAATATACGGCTTCCCGATCTGGCAGAGCTACAAATGGCAGGACCACAGACTCACCCTGAGAAGATATATCAGACAACATTGTACCGTAAACATTGCCTTCGATACAAATTAATGAATAATTGCCACTTCGATGTGTATTTTTGATTTCTCATTAGATATAGACGAAATTGGGATAGGAAGTAATGAGAAGCTAGGAGATATGGCTGGAATGGCCAAGTAACAAAAAGGTGGAAGTAACTTGATTTTTTATTCGTCCGCAAAACCAATCTAGGCTACTGTTCTTGTAGAAGAAGCACGCCGTGTTCGTTATCTCACTGAGTGGTAGGCTAAAAGAGAGTACGGACTAGCTAGTGGTGTCGGGTCCAGTCGAACTGTCTCGAGCCCAGAGAGTCGTAAAGTCGAAGTTTTTATTTCTATTGAGCGCTGATAGCCTTTTTTGAGAGAACTTAGCAGAGGTCAGGGTTTGAGTTCATCGTGGAGGTCGTGGCTTAGGCGTGAGTGTGATTAGCAAAGCTCTTGGACAGTCTCACAAGATTGGCAATTCATGGACAAAACTTCAGCCTCGGACAGGACTCTAACCCGTACTTGTTCGGTACGGTCACCGTGCTCTGTCTCTTATACT